ATCCCTATATAGGATCCGAACCCATAGCCTTGGTGTTATCAGCACCACACTCTCCCGAGTAAGCCATGGGCCGGCTCTATATATCTACATTTTTCTATCTCATTTAATTCTCACCACAGCAGTGTGAGGAAGCCACGGGCCGGCTCTATATATCTACATTTTTCTATCTCATTTAATTCTCACCACAGCAGTGTGAGGTGGGCATTATTCTCCCCATCTGATGGACGAAGAAACAGAACTTTGAGAGGTTACCTAGGACTTGCCTGGAGGCTACCCAGCTGGCAAGAGGTGGAGCCAAGTCTCCCAAGCACCCACGCCTAGGTGCTAACAGTGTAGACCCTGCCCCTGAGTCTGATGAGTGGGGGAGTGGGTGCATATACAAAGGAGAGGATGAAAAAATAACCCCTGAGCAGCAACACCTTAGAAATCCAGGCCGTCAAACCCTCATTCAGAATCAGTGTAATACACTACGGTCCTTCCTTCCTGGCACCCTGCATTCATTCAGTCATTCACTTACTGGTTCATTCAAACTCAGTTTCTGAGTTCATTCAAAACCAGCTCTGTGCAGGCGCCATGGGGAGCTGGGAATAACCTGGTTCCCTGTTCTGGAGCGAAATCTTCCAGGGAACTGGCTAGAGAAGAGGGTCAGGTGTGCGATACCAGGGCTGCAAAGAACTCCAGGTGTAGGCCATGTGGCCAGGGAGGCACAGAGGGTCAAAGTTGGCACTGCAAGACCAGAAGAGAGAGCGGGGACATGCAGCAAGGGCTTCCTGGAGAGGTGCCATCTGAGCGTGCACTGGAGAAGCAGGATTGGGACACAGAAAGAGCAAGGGCACAGGAACACTGAGGTGGGGGAGAGAAGGAAAGGTGTAGATAAGGGACAGGCAGACCTCTCCAGCCTCAGACAGCTGACTGCCGGGGGCTGGGGCTGAACTTTGACACATACAGTGGCCCTAGGAAAAGGCCCAAGGCGTCCCCACCACGGCCCAGCCCTGGAGGGCAGGGGGCCACTCACCTCGTCATCTGACTGCAGGTACATGTGCGTGAACTCCAGCAGCTCCCGCAGCTCAGCAGTCTGGTTGTGGTACAGCACGGCCTCCTGAAAGGAGGGAAGGACAGGACATAAGCCAGACCCTGTCACCAGAGGGTGGGGGTCCCAAGATCTGTGCCCACTGGCCCTTTTTCAGTTCGAGGATCAGGGAACAGGTATCAGCTCACATGCCGATCAAATAACCAGAGCTGCTTGGAGAACCGGGTTAAGAAGGATTCTGAGGGCTTAATGAGAAAGAGTGCCTCAGTCGATTAGCAATGTCTGCCACTGACAAGGAAAGCAGCAGTGACACCATGTGCTCCACATTTGCCGGCCTTTCCTTGGACTCCAAGGGGTGTCCTCAGTTGGTTCGGGCTAGGGGGCCCCTGAGGAAGAAGGGCACAGGCCAGCACTGATGGCAATGAAGGTGGGAGGGGAGTGGGCAGGAAAGGACATGTGTTTTCCTGCCTGCTGTGCTAGTGAGGTGGGTGGTACCACCCCCACTTTGCAGGTGAGGCAACAGATTTGGTAAGGGTCAGTGATGTCCCCAGGGCCACATAGCTGTGGGGCTGGGGTTTGAACCCAAGACTCTAACCACAACCTACATCCTTTCTTTTTTTTTTTAAAAAAAAAGATGACCGGTAAGGGGATCTTAACCCTTGACTTGGTGTTGTCAGCACCACGCTCAGCCAGTGAGCGAACCGGCCATCCCTATATGGGATCCGAACCCGGGGCCTTGGTGTTATCAGCACCACACTCTCCCGAGTGAGCCACGGGCCGGCCCCCTACATCCTTTCTTTCCACTTCCCTCCCTGCCTATGGAGGAAACCAGGATTTTTTTTTTACAAACTGCATGTCCAGCGAGCGCCTCAGTCAGCATGTAGCGCCCACCTCCCGGGGCTGGAAGTCCTCCTCCTGCAGGCCCCAGCGAGCCCGGTGGAAGCGATAGTACACCAGGTTCTGCTGCATGACACTGTCCTGGGGGTCGAAGAGCATGTAGCTGGCGGCACTACGGGCAGCCTGACGCACGTCGTTCACTGTGGGTGGGAAAGGGTGAGGAGTGGCCCTGGCACTGCCCCTGCAGGGGCAACCCCTACCTATCCCACCACAGCCCCCTCTCCCAATTTAGTTCAGTGCCCCTGCCTCCAGCCACCTCCCAGAATACCTGCTGGGCTTCTCATCCCATCCAGTAATAATGTAAACTCACACACATTGGGCACTTACTGGGTGCCGGGCCCTGTGTAGTCCATTTAAGCCCCACTGTTACTGTCATCCCCACTTTACAGACAAGAGATTGGAGGCCCAGAGAGTTTAGATAGATCTCTCAAGCCCACACAGCTGGAGAATGATGGCACTGAGGAAGTAGAGGCCAGTGGCCTGGCCCTCGACCTCTCTGCTATCCACACCCATGAGGGTCTCCTGGCCCAGTGGGCCTCAGCCCCTCCACTCCAACTCCAGGCTCTGTCTGAATCATGGCATTTCTGTGTTGCAGGAACCCTGGAGGTTGTCCATCTCTGCCCCAGTCAATGCCAGGATCTCTCTCAAGTGGGGAGAGCCACAAGTACCAGTATTAGTTTTTATTAGCCATGTAACTAATGGCTCCTTGCCCTCTATGACCCTCAGTTTCCTCATCCAAAAAACGGGTCCAGTGATGCCAGCTGCATGGTGTTGCTGAGAGGATCAGGTGAGATAAAGGACTTTATAAACTGTCAGGTGCTTTGCAGTCCTTGGCTATCTAGTCATTTGCCCCAGACCCCCTCTAATTCTCCCCTGAGGCTGCTCTCTGTCCCCACTCATAAGTCTCTCACCTGCCCCAGGCCCCCAGGGCCCCTTCCTCATATCCCCCCCACCCCTAATCTTTCCTCCCAACGACCAGGGGGCCCAATCTGAGGGGCAGGTCCCCACAACTCTTCCTCCTCCCCCATCTCCAGCCCGCCCCAGAGGCTCACACTTGTAGTAGGCAAACTGCAGGTAATGATACATGGTGGCCACGAACTTGTCCACGAAGT